AAATTCTAATAATCCTTAATAAATGTATCTAATTTAATATAAAATACTTCATTTGCGTTAATTTTTTTATATGAAATATTAATTTATTTACTGGAACATTTGTAATTCTTCGAAATGGTGAATCATCGTCCAAAATTGTCACGAAAAACTCAGACGAAAGTTTTTCGACATTGCCGCAGAGATTCGGGATGACTAAGTCGCTCTATTCTTATCTGAATAATACTCTTCTATATCCACTGTGAAAGTAGGGTAAGTGGTTATACAAAATATGAACTCCTCGTTAGGTACATGTTAATTTTTTATGATAGCTTTTTATTTTTATTTTGATACATCCTGTAGCAAAGACAACTTTTTAAATTTAATATTTAACTCCAATTAGTTGTTGCTTCATCCGCGCTTCAAAAGCATGAGAGAAACGAAAATATTTCTATAAATCTTAGAGATACGTTGTCACTTCTAAATTGTATCAATTTAAAAATTATGCAGGTAAATTAAAAAAGAATTAATATTCTTATTCTTACTGTGTAATAAAATATAATAAAATTATATTGAAAATGAAATATTTTAAGATATGTGGCATAAAAGCAGGGATCGACTTTTTTCATGATTCTTATGTAATATTGTCTGTAATTAATTATCAGCATCGAGTATGTGATTGCATTTAATTCATGGCACGTGTATGAGGATTATGAAGAATCATTATCATCGCAAATGTGGATCTAAATATTGGTAACGAATTTATGTCTTACATTCCTTTCGAAGTTTTATCCTGCATCACGTTCCAATCAAGGTGATATATGAGGATATTAACGTACTAAATATATCAGATTCATCTTTTCTTCTTTAAGATAGTCTTTAAAATACGTTTTACTTAAACTTTAAAAGCATAACAGGTTTCATTGAACTGATATCTTGTATTAAATGTTACAAACAATAATGTAATTAAGAATTAGAATTAAGTTTTATACTTGTAAATATTTAACCTAGTTTAACTATTTCAAGATCAACTAATTTTAGTGTGTGTGTGTGTGTGTGTGTGTGTTGTTTAAGTTTAATTTAAAGCATAAATCGTTTGTTTAATTACAATTACAAAAATTTATTAAATATATTTATTTTATTTTAAAATGGAATGTTTAAAAAATATAATAATTTTTAAATTAAAAGATCACTGAATTTATTCTAAACTCTTTAAAAATATGAAACTAAAGGAAGAAACATTAAACCTAGGAACATTCTCTGTATAGTCATATTCTCTATATAGTTACAAAGATAATTAAAATAGAGCACGTTGCAACATTAATGAGTATAACTATTAAAGATTAATTAATAATATTAAAATGATAAGTAATATAGATATAAATTATGTTTGATATTATTATTTATTACTTGTACAATGTTATTTTTACCAAATTTTAAAATATTTTTTTTTCTTTTTTTTGTGATTTAAGTTCAATGTATCTACCTTTCTTATATATTTTTCTTTTTAAAAGAATCTTAAATATTCTATCTGCTATATCTAAAATTATATATTTAATTGACACAAACACTATTTTTTAAAATATATAATAGAGTCAAGAATGCAAACCATTTTTGCAGCATTATTGTTAATCTGAAGTTTTTGAGAATATTCTTGTAGCGCCACCGATTTAGAAAGTTCTCAACTTGAGTATTATGGTTTGCTTTAGTCTCCATCGATAACTTTGCTTTAGGTCTTTCTTCAAGTACAGTATTTATCATTTGATATTTAGCAAAAGACAATATTACTCTAATGCTTCACGAGGGCTGGCAGCACAAAGTCCAGTTAGCTATAATATAATAATCAAATGTTAATTAGATTTCATAAATAGTAGGTAATTTAACATGTAGTAGCAATATGATAACAGGAATGATCAATAAAGAGATCGGCGCAGTTAACAGAATAATAATATTGTAAAATAAATGAAATATTAAATACAGTTCAAACTTAACGTTAAAAGTCAAAGAAACGAATTTAAAATTGAAAGTATTGTAACTTTTATTTAAATTGTTAAATCATTAATTAATTTTATAAATTGTAATCATTCATTATATAGTAGATATGCTACTATTATTTTATGTTTAAATAAATTTAAGTATAGTTGATGATTTCTTTTGTTTTAGATTATATAATGATACTATTATGTTTAATTATATAATTACTGATTAAGTCTATCAAATTATACACAGATTAAAAAATTCTTATTTGATTTTTTTTTACTAAAATCTTACATCTTCAATTTTTAAAATTTTTTATATATAATAACCAATCAAAAAATATTTATATTTTAATATCCGATGAGAAAAAAAACAGACATATGATAAAAATTAATAAATATTTAATTTAAAATATTTACAAAAATATTGATGTTTATTTTTATTTATAAAAATATTAGGACAACTATTTTTAAAAAAATTTTAAATTGTAAAGTTTTGTTAAAGAAAAAAATTATCTCTGTTTAATCAAAGACTTTGATAAAAGTGATAACAATATTCCAGAATGTTGTATACTATAAAATATGTATGTATATTATTATCAGAAAATAAAATTGTGAATTTAAATTTTATTATCAAACTATTTCTAATAATTGTAAGTATCAATGACAAGATATTTTATCAACTAAAATAAAATTAAAAGTTAATTAAAAGTTTATAGTTTCTAATTAGATAAATATTGTATAATAACAAAAAGATTATTACAACAATTAAATTAAAGAACTCTTTTAAATAACAAAAATATCAAAAATATAGAAAAACAAATTAGAATATAAATTCGAATATAGATATGTGTAATAAACGTTAAAAGTTTTAACATTCTGATAAATTAATATAAAATATAAATTTAATTTAAAAACTTAATGTTACATTGTATTACATGACATGTTTTGACATCATAATTATGCATTATCAGATGTTATAAATTCTCAAAGAAAAAACACAGTGAAAAAGTCAGGTTTATTTTGAATAGTCACTATTAAGTCATTAAAAAGATTATTGAATAATTACATAATTTTTTAATTTTACATCTTTTTAAATTTTAATTTTTTAATAAAGCAATGAAATTTGAACTATTGAAAGTATTTTACATCTATTAATTGTAAAAATATGAAAATATGAAAATATTTAATTTGACAAAAGCTTTCGTAATAAAAAATTATTTAAATGTGAGATGTAGGCATTTGAGAGTAAACACAGTTCGATTTAGTGTATATCTGTTCAATAAAACTGAGTAATAGATATTATAAACTTATTACTAGTCACTCAAACTAGTCTATTAATTATATTTCTAAGATTAATGGGAACTAGAATATGATATAAAAAGAAAAAAATTTAAATAATGAAATGTTTACACACAAACACACACATACACTCGTACACACACACACACACACACACACACACACACACACACACACACACACGGCAAATATTGTGGAGTAAGGAAATTTCTCAGTTCCAAAGGAATTCTCACAAATAATCTGGTCAAAGCTGGAATCTGTCAACACTCTAATAGCGGCTTGGAAACTTGATGAAACCTTTCGAGCTCTTTCAAATCATGCTAAGTCTTCGTTCTTGCCCTTCCGTTGTTTCAACGGTAACAATGTAAATCCTGGGGATACTCTCCGCTACCGATTTCTTAGAAGGAGTTTCTGCTTTTGTGAAGTTCTATAGACTTCTCGAAAGAGACCACATCATCACGTGAAAGAGAATCCAACAAGGAAACGATCCTGTGGGAATACTGTTCTCATTTCATAGATAAAGATGACTATAGTTTCGCAAGTGATTCGTTGTGTCTTTGGGCAGATCATTTGTTCTCAGAATATCGAGAGAAATCTCTTTAAGCTTTGAATAATTTGATTAAGGTTCTGAAATTACATATTGTTGTGATTCTAAAGATCCATTTAGAATATCTTCTATCATCTTTCTTTTCAGATAATAAATTTGAGAAAAAGTATAAAATAAAAATTTTTCATTCTATATAATTAAAATTATGATATAATTAAAATTAAATTAACTATAATAAATTGATTGATGAAAATTAATCAGTAACACAACTATACAGTCTAAAGCAAGAAAGTTCTTTGTTAATTCAACTTAAATTTATTTAAATAATGATATTATGTCTAATATAATTAATAATTAGGATTCACAGAAATATTAAAGGTTTAATCTTACGCGCGCGCGCGATTAGTAGGAAACAATATTTATAGTTTTACGTTTTTCCAAGAGTTTGTCACCGATAGTGAAAGTTGTGAGTTTCTTTAACCAGTTCTTTTTTTAATTTCAGTTCTGTTGTCATTATTTTGTTAATTAGGTCAATGTTTTTGTTAATCACTTTTATCATCATATCGCGATTTCGTTTCCGCTTGAGTGGAAATACACGTATAAGATTTATACTTATCCCTGGTCTTTCCTCTCGAAGCTACGTCTTCCTCACAGCCGACGAAGCAGAAGACGAAGAAGCAGAAACGAATAGAGAGCAAGACAGAGAAAGTACAAAGCTATTCTTAAAATAGGGCTCGAGTGAGCACCTCGAGTGTGACAAGGAGCTATAACTCCTCGGGCAGAAGGGAAGTCGTGAAGAAGGAAGAAGAGACGCAGAAAGCGCTGAGTGAGAGAAGAAAATGAGAAAGAGAGTAAGAGAGAACAAGAACGAGAGGGACCACAGCATGCCTTGCGGGTCGCCGGCTCTTCAGGGTCCGAGCTTCGTTCGAAACGAAGCGCCTTCGCAACGCTCGCCACTTTTCTCTTCTATGAGGTCGCGGAGGTGTTTCTTAAGACAATCAATCGGTTAGTCACTTCTGGCCTTGATATCGTCTTTTTTTTTCTCTTCAACATTCTATCGCAGTCGGGCCGGTGAACCAAGGAACCAGTGCCGGTGAATCGTGTAAACGGTGGTGTAAATGCTTCCGTGCTTGATGGTGGTTGAAATCAGCTGCAGGAAGCGCATCTGAGGACCTGTTTTCTTCTTTTGAAGTTGCTTCGTTATTCGAGGGATCATGACATCGTACAGGAGCTACGTAAGTTCGCGGTGTTGATTTCGCGATGGAACCGGCTTGATTTAGTGTTCCAAAGATCTCTAACTTGCTATAATAATGCAGAAAAAACTGTTAAAATAATTGAAGAATTGATAACAAAATCATTTTCAAGATATTCGCTTCATGTGGAATTCATTTCTACGTTTCAATATCAGTTCGTTCACTTTTGGAGCAGATTTGTTGGCAATGTTCTATGCAAATGTACATATTGAAAGCTATGCAACTTTCTACCTTTGATATCTATATTGCATGCAAAAATATTAGCGGATTTCTATATTGGCTCAGCACGATGATGCACTCATCGAAATAAATGTATTTTCTGTTTGATCGATGAAATCGATATCTTTAAATCGATTCGTTCAATTTTTACTGATACTTGACCATGTGTTTTTAACGAAATGCATTGCGTGAAGGTATCGGCTTGAAAAGTTAAATTTGCATCTATATGCTAACCAATATAAAATAATATTCATGTTCTAGTCAAGTGTCATACTGAAAGGAAAGTGTTTGCAATTTATGAATATAACTCTATAGTAAATTAAAGTTAATATCTATCTATTTGAATATATATATA